AGGCTGAGGTGGAAGGATCGCCGGAGTCCAGCAGGTCGAGGCTGCGGTGGCCGGGAGCGGCCACTGCACTCCAGTCTGGGTGACAGAGTGAGACTCCGACTCAAAAAAAAAACAAAACAAAAACAAAACAAGAGGTAATAAGGTAAATTGAGGTCATGGGGCGGCTCCGGTCCCATCAGGCAGAGGCACCCGCAGCGGGATAAAGACAACCACGGCAAGCAGGGCGGGAGGAACCAAGCCAGCCGGCCCCTGGATCGTGGCCCCGTGGGCTCCAGAGCTGTGGGAAGATGAGCCCTGGTGCCTTTGGCGCCCAGGCTGCAGACCTCTGCAGGGCAGCCCCAGCAGGCTAACGCAGGCCGTGCACAGTGAGCCCTGCAGGTGGCGCGTGCGGGTGACAGCCAGCTCCTCCCACACCAGGCACGCACCTGGGGCAACACCAGGACCCGACGTGGGGCCACCCGTGGCAGTGGGAGGGTCGGGCCTGCACGGCATAGGGGGGTGGCGCCGGACAGGCCTGAGCACACATTTGAGTCTGCATCTAAAAGGCAAGAAACCCCGCGCATTGGGAGGCCGAGGTGAGGGGATTGCCTGAGCTTGCGTGTTCGAGACCCACCCGGGCAACCTGGCGAGACCTCATCTCTATAATAAATTAAAAAATTAGTCAGGTGCGGTAGCGCGCGCCTGTAGTTCCAGCTCCTTGGAAGGCTGAGGCAGCAGGATCGCCGGAGCCCAGCAGGTCGAGGCTGCGGTGGCTGGGAGTGGCCACTGCACTCCAGTGTGGGCGACAGAGTGAGACTCCAACTCAAAACAAAACAAAACAAAACAAAAAAACAAGAGTCTCAGTTGGGCTCAGTGGCTCAGCCTGTAATCCCACGCTTTGGGAGGCCGAGGCGAGTGGATTGCCTGAGTCCGCGGGTTGGAGACCCGCCCAGGCAACTTGGCGAGACCTTATCTCTACAATAAATCAAAAATGAGCCGGGTGTGGTAGCACACGCCTGTAGTTCCAGCTACTCGGAAGGCTGAGGCGGAAGGATCGCCGGAGCCCAGCAGGTCGAGGCTGCAGTGGCCGGGAGTGGCCACTACTCCAGTCTGGGCGACAGAGTGGGACTCCAACTCAAAAAAAAAATGAATAAAATAAAATAAAAGGCAAGAGACGAGGGAACCAGGCGTCCGCACTCGCCCCGTTCCCTGGCCAAGTCTCCCTCAAGTCCGAAGCTCGGCCTCCGGTTTCCTCGGGCCTTCCCCAGCCCCGGTGCTGCGCCCTGGGTGGCTGTCAACTCAGGGTCTGCCCATCTCCTGGGACAGCGGGATGGCCCGCTCCCAGGTAACACACAGGGCCTGGCCAGGTGGCATGATTTACAGGCTAAAATGGGGCCCGCGTCATTTGTGTCTCAGCTCCCTTCCCCACCAGGGAAACACCTCCAGGAGAAGGGCTTCTGTGTCTGAGGGCTCCATCAGAGACAAGACCTGTGGGGCTGAGTCTCAAGACCTCTCCTCACTCCAGCACAAGCTGGGCTCTGGGGATGACCCGAGCGGACCATGCCCTGTTCTGCAAAGTGCATGAACACAGGGGCTTAAGGGCAAAGCTCTCCTGGGGAGCATTTCCCAACCTTCGAAGAGCCCAGGCACACATCAGGCTCTCTCAGGACAGGGGAGCGGGGCTGGCTCCGGCAAGCCCTGGGACTGGGCTGACTCTGAGCATGTCTGGGGGAACGGTCCTCACTCTCCCCTCGGCCTCGGCCCCCAGCTTGGAAAGGGCGGGAGTGCGGTAGGTGAGCCACTGCATGTTAGACATAGGTGAGTTTCTTGCAGGCAGGTCTCAGTTAAAACAGGGTAAGCATTCAGACGTCTTCCTTATTGGCACACAACCTACAATCAACTGACTAGCCACACCAGATCTGACCGCCTTGAAGGCTGGAATGTGCTTCAACCAGCCCAGTGAATCAGAGAAACAACAGGAACTTACCCAAAACACAGATACCATGCTATTAAAAAAATGCCCAGGCCAGGTTCGGTGGCTCAGCCTGTCATTCCAGCACTTCGGGAGGCCGAGGCGAGTGGATTACCTGAGCCTGCGGGTTTGAGAACCACCTGGGAAACTTGGAGAGACCTCGTCTCTACAAAAAATCAAAAAACTAGCCGGCGTGGTAGCATGTGCCTGTAGTTCCAGCTCCTTGGAAGGCTGAGGCGGAAGGATTGCTGGAGCCCAGCAGGGCGAGGCTGCGGTGGCCGGGAGCGTGCCACTGCACTCCAGCCTGGGCGACGGAGTAAGACTCCAACTCCCCAAAAAAGCGCCCAAATCTAGTAAGCAATAACTTTCATTATTCAGACGGTCCTTTGTGACCCTAGAAGGCAGAAAGATGGTGACCAAAACTCATGACCAAGCACCTGCAGGCCTCTTAGCTCTTGGTTTGCTTAATCGTGGTTCTAGAGGTACAAAAAGCTTCTTGTCCAAGGCAAGTAAGTGCCTTCTCTCTTTAAGGCATCCACACCTTCCGTGCAAGTGCCTTTTCTTTCTGATAAATTCTTTCTTAAACTATATTTTGGATTCACTCTGAAATTCTTCTCTGTGACAAAACCAAGAAGAACCCACAGAGCAGCGCCCTGCACCCCACCCGGCGTCAGGAGGACTCAGGAGGGAGCTGAGGACAGGCGGTTTTCCTCAGCGGGAGGAGACTGTGGCTGCCTCCAGCTTTCTCCCTGCCCGACTCCAAGCTGCCCAATGGCGCTTCTCAATGCAACTCGACATCCACATGTTCTCTCCGGCACGAGAGTGCCTCACTCAGACCACAGACATGGAAGGGCAGAGCTCATCCAGCTCGCCACTGGCTTTGACTGGACCCAGAGAGGCAACTGTCCTAGGATGGTGACTGGAGACTCCTGTTATTAAGGTCACGAGGTCCGACCCCTCATCTCCATGTTAAAGCCAAGGGGCTGTGGCTCAGAGACGGCGAGTGACTTGTCCGGGGTCACCCAGCAGGGAGGGCGCAGAGCTGGACGCCCAGGCAGAGGCTTGCTCCCACCATGGCTCTGGGAGTTGTCAGAACATTCTCGCTCACACTCAGCCAGGACGGCCTCGTGTCTGGCCTCTTGGGCAGTCTCAACGACCCCATCTGCTTCTGGCTCAGCGGCTCCTACAGTTTCCAGCTTCCTCCCGGCTCCCCCACCCCGCCCCCAGCGACCACCAGCTCCAGCCTGTGTGTGCCGGGGCCTCACTCTCAATTCTTCCAAAGGAGACGGAAGGGCGGAAGCACCATTGTGGAAACCCACAGCCTGCCGGAGGGACCAGCCTGGCCAGTCCAGCCTCTTCCCCCGAAGTCCCCCAGCTCCTGGCCAAGGCAGAGCCCCTCTGAGCCCAGCTGTCCCTGGGTCTACTCTCGGGACTTGTCTCTCGCTGCCCACAGGTGTAGGGCCACCCCCTTCCCAGTCCAAGGTTCTGAAACCCCCATTCTAGCCCCTGTGACTCTCACTTCTCAGACACGGGATCAGCGCCAGTACCATGCGGGGCCGCCAATCACAGCTCCAGGAAGCTGCCCGTGACACCCCCGCCCTCTTCCCCACCACCCACAGTGCAGCAAGTACCCTCGGGTCTTAGTCCTCCCTGTGATCCAGGCGCTCAGCTCCAGAGCACTCACAGTGCTTAGTGGATGTGTGTCAAGTGGCTACGTGATCAAATGCCCAGGGATGCACTTGGGACAGGGCAGTGAGGACCACACCCTTCTGGCGTCCACCAAGCACTGCCGGCAGCGCTGAGGGACACCTCACATGCGGTCCTTGTCCCCGGGAGCTCCACTCCCATGGTGGGGGAGGGGCAGCCAAGCAATCCAGACGACTGCCAGGAAGCAGATGAGACCGTGTGTTTCTCCTTCCCGGCCTCATCCTTGCGGATCTGGGTGGTCAGGGGCCGGCCTCTCTTGTCCTGGGGCAGGGGTGGGGTGTCTTCTTTGAGGATCCAGAGCACTCCAGAGCTGGCACAGAGGGGCTCTCACCATGAACTGGTGAGCACACACCCCAGGACAGTGACCATTTCTCCTCTTGATGACAGGTGGAGCCACCTTCACTCGGGTGACAGGGTTTAGAGAGTCAGTGACATCGAAGCCACCTTGGCTGCAGTTCTCGGGGTGGACGGGCCCCGTGCTGGCCAGGTCTGCTTGATTTGGGTCAACTTGCTGAATGACAGCCCAGAGGTCTCTTCTCCACCACCTGGCCAGGACGCGCCGGGCCCACCAAGGCAACGAGCCCCGTGGGGATCTGACGCATGCCCAGAAAGCCATCAGGCCCGGAGCCATGTCAGCCCCAGGGTGCAGCACGAGGAGGGAGGTTGTTCTCAGGCTGCCCGGCGTCTGAGAGTGGACTGAAGCCAGTGAGGCCTCTTTTAAAAGAACGGCTTTGGGAGTGTCTGTGGACAACAGAGCCCGGGACGCTGCCTCTGCCCACACAGGCCCACGAGGATGGGTACTCTCCTTCCCTGTCCTGGCTGCATCTGGCCTTTCAGAGGGCCTCCCTCCCGCTGGGCCAGTGACCTGGAGGTTGGCCAGGCTGGCATCCCTGCGGGGAGCAGAGCTGCCGGTGCCACCAGGCCGGGCCTCCTGCGGGTGCCTGCTTAGCTAGACAGCCAGGGCCAGGATGTAGGATCTGGCATGGGCTGCCCTCAGCTGTCCTTGGGGGACCTGGCTATGGTTCAAGGTCTCCCTGTCCTAGCCTGGTCAGCCTCAGGAGGTAGATAGGGTGGTGTCTCCCCATATACACGTGCTTATGGTCTAGTGGCCTTGGAATGCTGAGCTCCCCTGTCAGATCCCTTCAACGGGCCTCTGGTGGGCACGGAAGGATCCCCCCAACAGCCAGGACCCCCTGGTCACTTTAGAGTCATGGACCGTGACTAGTTGAGGGCAGGGATGTCACTTTGCTCATCCCTGGGGTCCAGGTTGGCACCAAGGAAGTTTGTTGACTGAATCATGGACCATATCAGCCATCTGAGAAGATGACAGAATTCAGTGTGCCAGTCACTTCCTGCCATTCTGGCCATGAAAGTCACAAGCAGGATTTAATAACAAAACTATTCTGCAACAAAAAGGCAGAAGAATGCAGAACTCACCTCGGGCTCCAGTCCTTCCCCTGCAGAACACAGAGCTACCAGGGGTGCGTCAGGGAGATGGGCGAGAAGGTGACGGCCCCTGCCTTCCACGGAGCAGGCCTCCCTCTCAGTTGTTCCCTTGTCACCCCGCCTGCCCATGCAGCCAGCAGAGGAAGGCCCCTCCCAGGAGGGGTCCTGGAGGTGGGGTCCCACAGTTAGGCTCGGAGGGCCCTGTGTACACATTGGACACCCTGAACATCTCACTTGGAGCCCAGCTGCTGTTTCAGTAGGAGGTCAGACCTGCTCTGTAGGACACCCGCATCACCCGGAACCCTCGGGGCAGCCAGCATGGGGGCTGGACAAGGCCTCGGGCCATCCCAGGTTGGGGAGGAAGTGGGTGGCCAGGCGTCCCTGTGATCCTGTGGCTGGACCAGGACATGGTCTGACCTGTGCCCATAGGGGTGTCCTTGCAGACCTCTAGCCAGACGGGCCCTGTCCCTGTGCTCTGTCCTGGGGCTCTGGGGGTCAGGGCTCCCCGTGAGTCCTGACGGGTGATCCCCGGGGCCTGGGGCCCAGCACCCAGGAGCCCGGGGAGGGACGCTCGGCCTGTCCTCCTCCCAGGGTTGGGTACCCTGGGCTGCAGGTTGCCCTCTGGGTCGGTTCCTTCACTCAGCACGCGCTCACCGTGTCTCTACCATGTGGCAGGTCTCACACCAGGAGCCAGGATTCCAGAACCAGGAGAAAGGGCTCCCCTCCTGACTCTGAATGGAGGGGAGGGGGGCTGCATGGTCAGGGAAGGGGACTCGATGGCACGGTGTACAGGCACCGTGAGGTCTCCGCCTGGCAGGGATGGGCATGGGCGGAGGAGGCCGTGGGGCCGTGGGGAGCAGTAAGCAAGTCTCTAGAGGGGTGACATTCCAGGTGGCTCTTAAACGGCCCACAGTAGGGGCTTTCTGGGATGCGGGTGGAAGGAAGGGCCCTCCTGGCAGAAGGAACAGCGTTTACAAAGGTGCAGAGGTCAGACAGGGCAGGGTCACGGGCAGAGGTACGCCCACTTGGGTGGAGCTGGGCTGTGGGTGGCGGTGGGACTTCCTCCTTATCTCACAACACTACCACCCAGCCTCCTCTCAGCTCCTTGAGCTTGCTGGGTGTTCCTGTCTCAGGGCCTTTGCACGAGCTGCTGGCCCTGCTTGGAACTTTCTTCCCCACCCTCAGCATGACTGACCGTCTCCTCTTTCCTGTCTTGATCCAAGCTCATTCCTGGGGGGGCCCTCCTGACATCTCAGCTGGGTTCCTTCTCCCATCACCCCTCCTTGGTGAAGTCCTATGCCTGCTGCATTGCCCACTGTGGCGCTGTTTGCTTGTTAAGGGGTTGGCTTTGGTCTCCCCTGGGACCTGAGTTCCAGGGTAGCCTCACTCACAGCTGCACCTCTGTGCAGGGGGTGTGTGCAGGAAAGAATCTGGCCTTGTCCAAAGAGAGGTTTCTGGGAGGTCATCTTTGTCCTGCCTGATAGGAGCATCCTTGCTTAGGGCGGGGGTTGGCCACACTTGTCTGTCTCAGGGTGGGGAGTGGACGCTCCAGGAAGACCAACCACGTGACTCAGGGTGGGAGCTTTGGGTTACAGGACATCAGCTGACCTGGCCTTAACCAACCAATTTTGCCCCGTCATGGAGCCCCAGGAAGACCTTGGGACACCAAGCTGTCCTGGTTGGTGGTACTCCTGTATGTGGTCATACTTTGGTGTGGGGTGATGTGTCCTGACCCCACAGGGAGTAGACGACAGGAGCCTGGCATCGGGAGGCCCTTGGACTCTGTTCTCCCAGCTCTTTCTTTGGTGAACTCACCCGGTGTCCCTCCCTGTGACGAGCTGGACCCGGGAGGATGCCCGCTTCCAATGAGGTCTGCAGGGCCGGCCGGTGAACAACCAAACCTGAGGGCAGACTGGGGGCCTCAGACTTGCATTTGGCGCCAGGCATGAGGGCGATCTTGGGGACCATTTGGGCCCCTCTCATGCCGCAGCTGTCCCCAGACTTTCACGGCTGTCGGCGCTCACTGAATGCATGACAAGTCAGCAGAGCCAGTCCACGAAGGCACCCAGATGTCCCTGGGCTATGGTCTGAGGGTGTCCCCCAAAAGTTCATGTGCTGAAGCCTGGTGGCCCTTGTGTGTTACAGGAGGGACCCCAGGGAAGTGATAGAGTCATGAAGCCAAGAAGACCTTGGGACGCCAAGCAGTCCTGGTTGGTGGTACTCCTGTGTATGGTCACACATTGGTGCTGGGGGCACGTGTCCTGACCCCACGGAGAGAGGACAACAGGAGCCTGGCATCGGGAGGCCCCTGGACTCTCCTCTCACAGCTCTTTCTTTGGTGAACTCACCCGGTATCCCTCCCTGTGATGAGCTGGACCCCTCTCATGGATGGACTTCTGCCTCTGCTGTGGGGGCGGGCTAGTTATCATGGGGGTTCGGCCCCTTTTCCTCTGTGTCTCATGAGCTCTCACCCTCTCTCACCCTTCTGCCCTCCATCACGGAATGGCCTTCACCAGATGCCAATGTCATGCCCTTCTTCCCCACTTCCAGAACCATGAGCCAGATCAACACTGAAAACAATTACAAGGACAACAAACCACCTAGTCTGTGGCATTCCGCGACAGCAACAGAAAACAAAGATCCCCGCCAGGCACGCCTGCAACCCCAGCACTTTGCAATCCCAGTGGGCAGGTCACTTGAGCCCAGGAGTTTGAGACTAGACGGCAACATAGTGAGAGCGAGTCTCCACAAACAAATTTAAAAAAAAAATTAGCCAGGCATGATGGCGTGCACCTGTAGCCCCAGCTCCTTGGGACGTTGATGTGGAAGGATCATTTGAGCCCAGGAGGTTGAAGACACCATGAGCTGTGAGTGCCATGATCATACCACTGCACTCCAGCCTGGGCAACAGAGTGAGACTCTGACAAGAAAGGAAGGAAGGAAGGAGGGAAGGAAAGAAGGAAGGAAGTTGGCTCGTGTCCCCTGACTGTACAAAGACGGCACGAGTGGAGAAGAATGCACCGGAGAAACCAGCAACCACCACCAACCTTGTTTCTGTCTTCAGTCCTGGCTGCTTGCCGACACGCTGGATGCCAGATGGAGAAACCTGTAGACAAGTACCGAGAGGAAGTGATTAGCGGGCTTCTGACGTTGCAGGGGCCTGTGTGGAAAAGCAGAGGACGGGGTGGTCTGTGCAGGGACACTTGCCCGGACGTTGCCCTGTGAGTACCCACCCCCCACCGAAGCCTCTCCCTGCCAGGGTTGGCACTGGGCATGGGACACCCAGATCACAGTCCCTGCACCCGGGGGCTCACGGTCCAGTTGCAGG